ACTTGGAAGGTTCCTGGTTAAAAATCTCAGCTATCGTGACTGAGACTTTTCATGGTAACCCACATCTTACACAGGCTAATGTCGGTAATCTTAAAATACGTCACCAACTGTTTCTTCCCGAATTCTTCCATACATCCAAAATTCATAATCATCCTGTGATACCTCATTTAACTTGAGGAGTTGAATAAGCATTGTATAATAAAGAAAGAAACAGTAATAATCTTAACTTCTGTGCACTGGGAAAAATAACCAGTCATGCTTCGTACTCGTGTGAGTCTGAAATTCAATTAGTACAAACGTCTCAATAGCTTTGTGGGCTGTTACTTGCATTTCTAACCTCACTTTACGTCAACATTTTATCATTCTGAAAATCCTCATGCAGGCTCCACGGCCACCAAACTCATGGGACGGTACAAGAGACGCCACAGAAATAGCACCGATGTGCTTACAGCCATCATCCAGTGGTGTCCTGGGGCAGGAGGACTGTCTGTTCCTCAACGTTCACACACCAAAGGTCTGATACATCATGGATTACAAATCTGATGAACTGGTATTGTAGTTATTTAATACGTCATATCAAATTAAAACCGCCACGGTGGTCTAGCGGTCAGAACGCTGGCCTTGTAATCCTGGGGTCTCGGGTTAGATTCCCGGCGGTGCCCGAATTTATAACTTGTGTTGGGCAAGGCCGTGGTCTAGGCAACACGGAGTTTTCCTCCGTGGCATCCCAACAATTACTCCATTCACACACAGAAGAAGGCAACGGCAAACCACTTCTGGATCATCTGCCAAGAACGTATATGAACAGGGCCCAGTCCGAGAAAAAGAGGGAAGGATCCTGTTCATATGGACCTGTCATCAGACAGAACACTAAATAAAAAAAAAATTACAAGTGGCGCTATTATCGGTGCCAGAATATTGCAGGAAATTTCTAAAGTGCGATTTTAGGGTCGTTCAAAATGACATAAACTTTGTACCAAATTTCATCCAAATCCATCCAACGGTTCTCGAGGTAAATCACGTGGACGGAGAGACAGACATGACAGACCTGTTGATTATACGTATATAATAGATACATGCGGTTTGAAACCACGTCAGTGAACCGGCGGGGCCCGAATTTTTAACTTGTGTTGGGCAAGGCCGTGGCCTAGGCAACACGGAGTTTTCCTCATTGGCATCCCAACAATTACTCCATTCACACACAGAAGAAGGCAATGGCAAACCCCTTCTGGATCATCTGCCAAGAACGTATATGAACAGGTCCCAGTCCGAGAAAAGGATGGAAGGATCCTGTTCATATGGACCTGTCGTCAGACAGAACACTAAATAATAATAAATCAAATTAAACTAGAAAGGTGTTTTTTGTTGTATGTGAAAGTTGGTTTGTGTGTGTGCAGTTACTTGATGAATTTAGCCCGCCACTTCCTGTAATGGTGTGGATCCACGGGGGAGGATTCCTCGTTGGAACTGGTAACAGCAAGTATTTCCCACCAACATATCTACTAGACCATAATGTTGTACTTGTGACATTGAATTACCGGCTAGGAATTCTAGGTGAGGAAAACAATATCATGAATATTGCTGTCTTCTGGGTTATTGCGCCGTGTAGTCTGAAAATCTACCACTACGCGGCGCAATAACCCAGAAGACAGAAATCTTCCAAAGGCAGCTTACATGACATCCTTGAAGAGAATCATCAGTTTTGGAGTCAGAATATGGAGACAGTGAAATCCCCCCGGGGGGGGGGGGGGGGGGGGGGTACAAAAACCATAGTTTTTCACATGTGAAAGTAGAAAGTATTGTTTTCGTAATAGAATATTTTGTAGTTGTGTATGTATGATCTGTTCTTCGATGAGATGGATCTCAAGATGAGGATATTAATTCAATGACGAAATGAATATGACCATAAACTGGGGTCTTCACTTACAACAGTAATACCCCTGGGTGTACCTTAAAAATCTGTAATTCTAAAGTTCCATGAAAAACTTCTAAATTTAACACTAAATATCATTACATTCTGGGTCTTTACAGTGAGGACATCAAAGCCTTGATAAGTCTTTAGATGAATGATTACAATGTTTCAGGTTTCCTCAGTGCTGTGGACGAGGTTCTACCTGGGAATTATGGAATGAAAGACCAGGTAGCAGCACTAGTCTGGGTTCACGAGAATATTAAGAAGTTTGGAGGGAACCCAAACTGTGTCACATTATTTGGTAGCAGCGCTGGAGGTACTAATGTGCACTTTCACGTGTTATCACCAATCAGCAAAGGTACAATACCAACTCTGTAAATTTTAGCAGATCTTTAACCTGAAGAACCGAAATATTTCATTTCCTCTACTCTCTGAATCACACACAGACACAGGAATTTAAATAACAACTTATGGTATTGTCTACTCATTCTTGGGGATTAGTGGTCAGCATCACGCCCCGGCCACACTATACCCCCACCCCCCGGAAAGGACCACAGGAGGCTGGGCAGGCCCCAGAAATGGTCTGGAGAGCCTAGAGAAAAAAATCCTCTACCCCCATCAGGAATTGAACCCAGGTCGTCCAGTCTGTAGTCAAGTCTCTATACTGACTGAGCTACGCCGGCTTGTCATGTTGCCTGCAGACAGAAACTGTGTGGTAGCATAACCTAAAAATTCCACTCAGTTCTCATTCTCACAACTCTTTACTCGAAGATCAATTTATTAATGATATCCTTCCGCCTTCATTCACGTATCCAAGTGATCTACGAGATTTTATCCACCAAACGACTTTCCCCATTTAAGTGAAGTGTCTAGCCAACTGTAATATCTCTAATTTAAAAATTATAAAAATATTAGCGGAGTAGAAATTAAAAAATAATAATAATAAGATTTCTGTCTTCTGGGTTGTTGCGCTGTGTAGTCTGTGATAACCTCAAATCTTACATAAAAAAATAACTCCATTACGAGTATGTAATTTCTTCATTTCCTTGTATAACTTCATCCCTCTAGTTCAAATGTTTTCTGTTCACTTTGTTCCCAAGCATTTCAATTTGTGTTTGATCTTAGATGTAAGATACCAAGTTCCATAATTACAGAAATCAGATGAGAAATATCATCATTAAATTACAGAGTTCTTTTGCTAACAAGTATCTGAATGTGGCAGCCTCGAAGGTCACTGTATAAAGTAATTGTACATAAAGTCTATTGTTTTTCTAGGACTTTTCCACAGGGCAATTACGCAGAGTGGAACTGCCCTTGCTCCATTTGCTGTTTCAACAGAAAGAGCTTTGAACCAAACCATGAAACTTGCATCACTACTAGGCTGTCCCGCTGTACCCACAACTAAACTGGTCACGTGTCTGAGGACGAAGAATGCTAGTGATGTCGCAGCGACAGTATCAGCATTCCAGGTGAGTGTCATTTGTTACAAAGACGCTAATAACACGCCTGAAGATTAAGTCCAGGCAACAGCCTTGTAGTACAAAATATTAAATCCCATACGATAAAGGTTAGTTACTTTATTCAAAATGTATTTTAACACTTTCACTCACGTATGTTGCGCTGAGTAACTTTATCCACTAGTTTTCGTACGCACACACAGCTGGTTTATACGTGCAGACACTTTTCTTGTTCCTTCATAGTAGAAAGGTCTGTACAACTGTAACTGCTCGTTTCAGAAGCTCATATATAAAAATACTCCGTCTACAAGCCTTGAGAGACTTCTGGTGTCAGTCACTGGTCTGGTTGATAGATGGCATGGCTGGAAATTTCTCATCCTAATACGCATGCGCCAGCAGACATTGTACAGCTGCATCCTGTTAAGAGGCCACAGGAGGAGGGGTTGTGTGTGTGTAGCAGGTCACACACGTGTGCATTTTGTAATTCTGGTCTGAAGAATATCTATTTGGGTGTGGATTTCAATAACAAAACTTCATGTCTTAATTAAAAGCATCACACTGATACTCTCAAGGGCATTAATGTCTTGATTGACTAAATACTATCTTTCATTGCCCATGTGTAAAATGTATAAGCCCCACTTAATGGTACCTGCACCTTGTCGTGGTGGTGGGGCTTGAGTACCTCAGTGACCCCAAGAGCTACTGGTAGGGCCTCCCTAGCCAGATTGGTCGAGGGGGAGAGGTCAGACTAAGACAGGTACCCTGGTCCTCCAGGTTGGGGGTTGGTCGCAAGGCTAACAACCTTGCACCAAAAAAAGGAAGATGTTTCGAAACCTCAATCAAAGCCTCGGACAGACGGACCTAACAGAGGACCGAATGGAAGAGGAGAATTGAGGAGGCCATGGACCGAATACGGACCGGAGAGCCATAGAAGAAGAAGAAGAAGAAGAAAATGTACAAGACAGGACTGTTATTTCTGGAAAGAAATGTGCCAGAACTCGTGTTTAATTATTGTGCAGAGGGAGGTTAAAATGCAATGCTAATTATTAATTTATCCATCGTAAAATACTCTTTAATAGCAGACAACGGAAGATATACAACTCACTCATGGTAGAAGGTCAACTTTATAATATATTCCAAAAGTCCATCATGTTTTCAGTGACTTTGTTATTTGCCCTGTGTAGCTGTTGCAGACTGCCATCCACAAAGCAGACATAATCGAACAATTGAACATGTGGTCAAAATGAGTAAGACAGAGCTCAATTATTCTCATTAACAGAAGTGCCAAGATAGTGCTAATCAACAAACATCATCTTGGTGGAGTCACTATGAGTTTTATCTGTGAAAAGACTCTTTCACATGCATCTGAAGAAACCGGAAGTGTTGAGGGATATTTTTAATGGCAATAATTCTTCTGGGAATTTCTTGTCAAACAGATATTCTTGAAATCCACAAATCACCTGTCTCTTATTCATCTGAAGTCTTTTGGACCAACTTCCAATTTCTTTTTCACCAAATGTTTTGTGACTACACGTGCAGGATCCAGTGTGGGTCCATTTCAGTAAATCAGCTTCTTCATCACCTGGCAATTTCTTTGCATTGCGAGACCAGCTCAGCAAATTCTCCAATAATTAGCAGCACCCATGTCAGTCCACTGTTAACAATCTACAAGCTGCTTTTACGACCACAATGGCTGGCTAAGGCAGCACTGCAGGCTTTTATTTAAAGTAATTTCATCCCACCAACAGCAAGGGTAAATCACAGCCACTACCTTCTTCACATAACAGCATTTGGAACACAAAGTGTCGAGAAAAACAGTGGAAGGATGGTAGAAGTGCCTGTTGATTGTACCAAACTAAAACGCTCATTTAAGTATCCCATAATCATGTAGAACATTACTGGCAAAGCTCACTCCCGAGTCTCGCCTACTTTAATGCATGCAAACTGTCTCTTGCATGTAGTGGTAGATATAATGAGGACACAGTCAATATAAATCATATGGAGTTAATAAAAATTATTCACTTATGCTCTTTTCTTGGTGCCAGTCAAACTATACCCCTTTTTACAACATGAAAATGGCATCAGAACTCTGTTCGAGGGCATCTTGCCAGAAAAATCATCCCCGGTTTAGACCATTTAGTCATCATGTACATACTCGCAAATGCATAAACCACACGACAGCCATTAATTCCTAAAACCACGTAATTTTTGATTTAAATTTTGAGATAAAATCAATTTATGTAAGAGAATGACTGACGTTAACGCGTCACAATACCGTGTTTGCAGATGTGGGAAGGTATCTTCACAACAGCATTTGCACCAGTAGTAGAGCACTCTGGCTCAAATCGGTTCTTGCCAGACACGCCTCTTAACATCCTCAAGGCAAACAAATCTGCACCTGTCCCCAGGCTGACTGGTGTCAATGCCCAAGATGGTTGCATCATATCAGAATGTGAGTATACACATTAAAATTGTCTCTGCTGAACAGAATATTGGTCCTTCATGACAAAGACAGTAACTTCACCATAACCATAACTCAAAACGACAGACCAGAGGGATATTAAACTGGGAGTTTGGGAACCTATTAAACATTTGTACATTACAGAAAAAGACTGAATGAGAACGTGCCTTTTGTTGAGAAAGTTGCGTCTGAAACTGGTACAGGGTCTAGATGTCTTCATGCAGTGGTGTGTTAATACATATTTGTAAGGATAAGAAGTTTAATCTTGCAAGAGGAAGTTTTTAAAAATTGTGATAAGAAGTTACCTCAGTACAATGTTCCATACAAACTGTGTAGCCATACTGCTAAACAATACAAACATGACGGTCCTCAAGAACAACGTTAACAATCCAGGATGCAGTTATAACTGAAGATTGCCATTTAAAAATTAAGGGTGAGTTGTCAGTGTCATGCCCAAGCTGTGTTTACCCCCCCTCCCAAAAAGGACCCTGGTACCCACTGTATACGAGGCTGAGTGGGCCTCAGAGCCAGTCCGGACGCAGAGGCGAGAAGAAAAATCCTCTACCCCCACCAAGAATTGAACCCTGGTTGTCCAGTCCATACTCAGTCACTATACTGAGCTTCCCAGCTCATTATATTGCCGTCTATGATTTGGCATTTAATCAAACATCATAATAAAATTAATTAATTTCTTGGTTGGATATTACGTTACAGAGATGGCCACTGAATGTCCAATCATGGAGTTTATTTGAATTCAAAATTTGGAGTGATAAGGAAGTTCCATCATTAACTAGATGATGCTTGGAGTATGCTACCATATTTTGCATACAGAATTTAACTACTATTTTCAGAGAGACTCAATCTAATTGATATTATTTTGTAACTAGAAACCACAAAAAGTCACCTAAATTATGTCTCCTCAGCAAAGTTTCAAATTATGATGTAACTTATTACTACTTTGCATTTATACAGAATAAATTCAATGTTGAAAGTGAGACTGTTCGACAATTTCTAAATAAAATTTAATCAATTGGCTAACATTCGCAATGGAAATCTAATCTAAAAATTATATAATAATCTTTGAAGAGTGCAGTGAGTGAAAGTGAACTGCTAATCTCAACCTGTACATAAATTCAGTGCCAATAAATTTCCATGAACAGAAAGAAACTGTGTTCCTGTGTCTACGTCAAAGATCTGCAACCTACACTGACAACTAACCCAGAAATTACCTCACTCTAAAACTTGGTCCATAAATTATTCATAAGTTTATTCCTATATTAACTGACAGATCATGTCTGTTATCCATAATCAAATCCCTGAGATATTAAGTTCACCGACTATCATACCCCATCTCCCCTGATATCCTGTTGATATCAAGGGGCATCAAACTCTGACCGAGTCAGGAATGCTGTGTAACGTAAGCGGCAGTTAGAATGACTCTAAATAGGACGCATAAACAGTCTGAACACAATTAATAGTGAGACACAGACAATAAGTAAACTTTAAAGGGTACTAACCACGGTGTGGTACAACCACGATCACTGATTTCTTGGACTATGTCCATCGTCTGTGCTTTTAAAAAAGAACACCATGTTTCGGAAGCTGGATCTGCTTCTGTCCTCAGGTTAAAAAGGGGGGAGGGGCACCTACCCAATTGGGTCCCATAGAAAGAGCTAAACCTCAATCAATAGACAACCTAAGCAGCCCCTCACCCCCCCCCCAAATAAAAAAACCAACCAAACAGCTGTCTTTGGACAGAATCCTACACAAGCATGGGACATCGTCCCTTTCTAGGTAACACCATTCCTGCGTACGAAACGCATAGCTGGAAATGGTAAACAGTGCCTTAAAATTAAAATAGGGGTGAGCTTACGCTATTGGGGGTTGAGACATTAGTCAGTGTAAATACATCTATATAACCACATGAGATCAAGTTTCGTCAACAGGAAATAGTAGGAAAGATTACGACAGAAATTGTATAAATAATTGAAAACCCTAAAATTAAAACAAAAATGGAAGTATAAAATAAATACATGAAAAAAACCCAAATAACTAATCCAGAAACACCGATGAGGAAGAAATTCAAAACTGAAACGTTGTACGAAACCCCACTAACCGACAACGCTGTCTGTGAACCAACAGTCGAACCCTTAAACAAAATTATGAGACTACCATTGAAGAAACTACCAGAACATTATGGCCTTCCCCATTGGTTGTTAACCTACTTTCTGATATGAGGAATCCAGATTGGAGAAATTTCCAAACTGGGTTGGCTGATGGGATTATTTAAATATGCCATTTGGGCTGATTTCTTGAAACCTAGTTACCTTAAATTTCCAAAATCCTGGCTTCATCCCAAATTACTCTACGACTTTCTTCATAGGCATGTTGCTCTGAGAATTTAGCGATCCTGACAGAGAGTAAGGATTAATATTTGAGGGGTAATATTAATGATAAGTTTCAAAGTCCAATCGAAAACATTCATCTCTAGAGAGAGATGTGGACCAAGGAAGAAACTTCATTCTTTAATCAGGGTATGTGATTTCCTGGCTAAGATTTGAAATAAGTACCTGTACAATATGAGGCACTGTGACATTTCAATAGCCTTTTATTGCAGAAGGATTCCTAGCAGACAGGCTTAAATGTAGTCTTTTGCTTTAATTTTGCATTATCTTGGATGAACTCCTCTCTCCTGCAAATTTTGCTGACATAAGCATATATGTCAATGTTGTTTTCTGGGTCGTAAAGCCATGTGGACTTTCTGAAGAAACATACTGTTTCCATGCTCAAGGCTAAAGACTCCCCGAAGATGGAGAGAGTATGTTTTTTCTAAAATGCTGGTATCTACCTACAAGTCCACAAGATGTTACAACTCAGAAGACATCCTCACTGGTCTTAGAACCTCAAATCTCATAAGAATATCTGTTAAATTCTGATGTATGCAGCCATAATTGGTGATCCCACCAAAGTAATCCAAATGGACAAGCAGTTCAAAGACTTTGTATTGGACACATTGTACTTCAGACGGCAGGAGAATGACACCAGTGTGGCTGAGACCATACGCAGGTTCTACTTTGGAAATAAACACATTGACGATGAATCTGTCAGTGAGGTCACCAACGTAAGTACTACTGATGATCAAAGTTTTTGGTTTGCGGTTTCCTTAACAGACACGTATTTTAAGCCAGAATAAAAATTACCAGAATGAAACAAAAGTTGAAGAAGGCTGTCTTCTTGGTTGCAGTGCCGTGTAGTCTGGTAGAAGTTTATCGAAGTTTCAGAGATTTCAGAGGGCTGTCGCCCTGATGATGGAGGCAGCAAGGATCTCCGCAACGGTGGTAAACTTCTACCAAAAAGACAGCCACTTTCAGACTCACTGCAGCGAAAAACCTCAAATCCTACTTAGAAAACAAAGTTTCAACTGATTTTGTAAAGATTTGTGACAAGAGTTGACTCATTTTATGAATATTATAGTTGTACTATTGAACCCAAAGATGGGATTAGAGCCAACTCCTGAAACATCACGTACAAGTACATCAAATATTCCTCAGACAATGGACAATATCCAGCTTATTCAGTTGTGCGGTAATCAAACTTTGACACAATGATATTTAAAACTAACAACAAAAAATGAAACACAATCTGAATGGTGCTCAAGGTAATGGACAGGAACAGAATAAGATATTCTTCCCAGTTAACACAAAGAGAAGAAAATGCAATACTATGTAATGTTTCAGATGTATACTGACAGCTACTTTCTTTATCCCATGAACTGGTCTGCCACCCTGGAAGCTGCTGCTGGAAACCGGAAGGTGTATGTATATTACTTCACTTACGTGGGGGCGGCAAGCAACAGTATCCTGTATGGGGATAAAGAGCACAATTACGGTAACGCAATACAGCCAGAGGCATCTATCTGTGTCCAATCGTTACCATGTCCTTGAGTTCTTTCTTTTCAATATTTACAATATTTTCATGGTACCTAAGTATGAATCTATGAATCTGACAACCGCACGATGTGGCAACAGTGCAATACCAAATTAAGTGCAACAACACTGCTCGTAGTGGTGCAGCTATTGATGTTATCTGCCACAGTCCGAATCCATTTAGTCGGTTGTTAACAATGGCAGATGAGTTTGCGCTCAGTTGAGGAGTACTTTGTTGCCAATGTCACGTCAGGAAAGTCAGGCAATGTGGAAAGTAACAGCGTTTGAACAGCAGTTTGGAAAGCCAATGCATCAGAAAGAAATTCTGCTGTCATTGGAGAAATGTATTTTTTTAATCGGAACTTGAAAGGTTCTCTTTGAAGCAATCGTCCATTGCGTGAAACGACAATGTCTGCCAGTGGTGCTACATCCGTCAAATATTTGCCATGCATGCCCACGCAGAAGTGGGCATCAGGACTTGGAGTATTGTGTTAGACCATGTTTTATCACATGAAGAACAAGATGACAATAACACAGGCGTACAGTGACTTCTCAGACATCCTTAAAAACGTGATTCTGAACCCATTTTTGCTGTTCCCTCACATTAGCTACAAAAGTAATCTTACCACACTCAGACACACACTTTTCGGTACTTTTCACTATTAATCTCTAATAGCCATGCACATTTCACTGAAACCCCACCAATGACTTCCATAACCTTCATTTGGTATGTGACCTGAGAATGGGGTCCACTGATCGAACTGAATACAGGTGCTTGTGAAACTCTAAAAGTTTAAAGTTATACCTTAGGTGCTTCGTAAAAGAGGTTAAAGTCAACACATAACAACATTAAATTCTATCTCTCCTTACCAACCATCAAATACAAAGATGAAGATTTCCGTCTTCTGTGTTGTTGCGCCGTGTAGATGAATTCATCGCCCTGATGACGGAGGCAGTATGACCTCTGAAACGTTGGGTAACATCGACCAGACTACACAGTGCTACAACCCAGAAGACAGAAATCTTCATACTCATCGCCCTGATGACGGAGGCAGTATGACCTCTGAAACGTTGGGTAACATCGACCAGACTACACAGCGCAACACCCCAGAAGACGGAAATCTTCATACTCACCGCTGTGAGAACCTCAAGTCTTACATAAATACAAAGATGATTGAAAAAGATTCTGTGGATTTTTCTGCCTGCTGCAGAAGCAAGTTAGATTGCTGAAAGTTGGCAGCACTAGAACTCTTGAACTGAAGTGCTGAAATATGCTCAAGGCGACCTTGAACTTGGGGCTTCAGTTGCATTTGGACTGTGAACATGGCTGCCCTATTGTCATTTTGAATCAAGGAAGAACAAAGGGCTATGGTTCAATTTTTATGAATAAAAAGTGTAAATTCATGGGCATTTATGTGAATTATGTGTTACCTCAGAGGAGTAAATATGACAAGAATGAAATGCAATTAGCGGCCTTACATGTGGGCGTAAAGCCGGCGGTCCCATGTCGTAGATTTACGGCATGTAAAACAACGTTACGAGCAAAATTCAGCGGCCATTTCTCACCCAAGTCTCCTGATTAACTGCTAGGTGGCTCTGGCAATCAAATCAGGATTGAGTAGAAATTGTGCAGAGTCAGTGGGCTGGTCACTCACTACTCATAAATGCACACTTCAAGACCAATACACCTCTGAAAAGGTAGCGTAAACCCACAACCAGGTTGTACAGCCAAGAAACAACATGTGGGCATACACTTATATCTCTCCAGCATCCCATTCCTCAAGAATTTTCTTCTTGTGGAAATCTCATGATAATTGAATCAACAAAGAGAAAAATGTATAGACAAGGAAGTTGTTTAAAATTGTTCTTGAAAAACATCAAGAAAAAGGATAAGATGGGCCGTACAATACACAGCACAGATTCGAAGTAATAGTAAGAAGTTATGAAGTGTACAGAAATCATAATAAATTCTGGTGTGTTTGCTCTGTTATTGCCTCTACATCAGGGGTTCTCAAATTTTTCAAGACTGAGGGCCAAATTCACACTTATCATCCCACAGGCAATAATCTGACAAACAGGAGAAATTTACTGAAATTTCATGGCCATTTATTAATAATGAATTAATCTTTTAATCTTTCAATATCCACATTAATTTCTGTATGTAAGGTTTGCATTCATCCCTCCAAGTGCTCACCAGTAACACAAATTCTGTTTCTTGATTTGATGTTTTTCATTAAAATGAACATCTCACAGATGAACTGCTGAAGCTTACAGTTGCTGAGACTGCCAAATACCGACTACATTAATCAGACATGTTCTTTGATATCAGGAAACTACAGAGGACTGCATGTGACCTGCAGGTTCATAACCCCTGCTCTCTAAGTGTAAGTGGTTATGAGTCGTATTCTGTCAAAACAGCTGCGGTGACCTCTGTGTCAGGGAAGCAGTGTCTGGCTGCACGGTGACATCATGGGGGCACCTGTGTGATTGTGTGAGCAGTGCGTCTGACTGAGATTCCCCAGTGCAGTTTAAAGGTCATTTCCAAGAGAATATATGTACGAAGGTCTTAATGTAAAATGATAGTTATTCCTTACTTTAACAGAAATAGTAACATGTCAACAAATTTTCATAAAACTCGCCCATATAAAATTTAATTAAAATCTGTAAAGAAGTTCTCTGTTACATGCAGACAAACAGTCAGACGTACGCTGCCAAGCAAAGAGGCTCATTTTTTTGCAAACTTAACTACGAACAAACCAAGAGCATACCTTATAACAATGTGTTCTAAATATGTGAATTTTACAGTTCATATCTTTCAATCTTGTAAACTAACTTCATTTAATGTCTCCTATAAGATAAGTCTGTGACATTTCACAGGGTCATGTCATGGAGATGAGATATTATACCTCTTCCCATCAAAAGCCATATTGCCAAATGTAACACAAAATGAACAGGACCACAGGATGATTGACATTTTGACAACACTATGGACAAACTTTGCAAAGACAGGGTGAGTGCCAATTGTGCGGCTGACATTTTCTATACTACGAGCATTATTTTAAAATATTTAATGTAATTATTGTAATTTGTCTCTACAGGCAACCTACTGACCAAGTCAGCAGTCTTGTTCCTGTGGCTTGGGACGCACTCACACAAGCAGGAAACTACCTTGAAATTGGCGTTCACTTGCAAAGGAGGACCAACCTAATGCCACTTCCTGTTTCACTCTGGAGCAGTGTATTTCAGTGGGCCTACAACGACAGCTGATGAGTGACACAATATGAAATTAAAAGCTCCACCCATCTAAACATTACTTATCTTAATATAAGATGAGATTTTTAATTCAGTTTCTGTAAAATGGCGGTATGCTCATATACAGACATCATTATACACAAAAAGTATTGTGCCATTCACCCATTAACTGCTGGTCAGAAAATGTTTGTGTACTGGGTAAAACTGAAGAGAAATAATACATACAATAGTTTATAGTAATTGTGCCCACCAATACTATAATTATACCTTATATGTATTTCACATACATTCCAGTTAATTAATTATATGACAAATTTTTATCCTACATGCCTAACATTGCTGATTCATATTTTGGAGATCCTGAGTTCAAATCTCAGTCCAAAAATTGCCTCTCCGAACTGAGGTTTTCCTCAGTCCCACCAGGTACATCACAGGGCAATACCTTAAATCAGGCCATGTAAACTTCCTACGACATTCTGTCCAATTCATGATTCACAAAAAACTTTCATCCGACACTATACATTTGTAGCTACTAAGAGAATTGTTAAATTAAATATATATGCATGCCTACATCTAGAACTGCTTGCATATCGGTTTTTAAAATTTCTATTATTCCTATATACAGAATCCCAAAAAGACGTAACATTCAAGAATCCATTGTTCCTACCGTTCATCGGTTTTATGGAGATAAGGACATGTTCACTTACGAAACATGAACATCATCATTGGTGTGGTCTACTGTAATGGTTAGGTGCCTGCTCTGTATTTGCTTTAGCTTCCTCATTCACATATCAGAATGTATTATAAATAAATAGCAAGGCCCTTAAAATGTCCCCATTTTGGGGGGGGGGGGGGGGGGGGGAAACATGAGTCAGGACTGTATCTAGATCAAGATTTGGGAGAGAAGCTTGTAGACGAGGGAACTGTTTTTCCTTATCAAAAGAAAGCTAATTATTACAGCCCTCAGATAATGGTACATGATTAGTATTAAGGTGGCGACTGACTTGTAACATTTGCCTGTAATGTAACGTGTTACAAATCGAGCATTACACAAGTGAAGACAGCGAACGGAGCCGCTCGATGCGAGCC